ACAGATGTCAGGCCAAGCAGAGTAGCTGGAAAGAGTTCCCAGGCCTGTGTCTTCAGCCTAGCAACGTCGAAGTTCCTAAAGGGCATACACTGCTTTGGAAAGTGTCTTCAGACTGAGGCTGCCTTTGTCCAGCCTCGTCCCCTGCACGCCTGTTTCCATACACGCCCACAGCAGACCACGTGTCCATGTCACTGCGCTTGGAAAAATATGGCAGAGCCACCTGTCTCGTGGCCCACTAAGCAAATGCCTTATTACCGACTCGGGTATTCTCAGCCTCCTTCCCCGACTCTGTTTACCCCTGTGAGGCACATCCAACTTATAAAATCCAGTGAGTGTGCTTCCCTTGCGGGAACCAGTGATCTTGCCAGCACCTAAGAGGCTAAGCGGAGAGAGATGCTGTCCCCTGGGGTTCTCCGAGCCACAACCGTGCGGCTTCTGGTGGAATGCTGGCTCCAGACAGCCTCCGAGGTCCTGTCCTCTCTAATAGCCATCTGTGCGGCTAAGGGTGGGGGCAGCGTATTTCGGTCGCATTGTCCTGAGAGTGATTCAGCATTTAGTATGTGCCAGGCACTGTGCTAAGAGAGTGACTTCACACCAACTTTATAAAATATTTATCATCATCATCCCCATTTTCTAGATGCGGAAACAGAGGTTTAGAGAGAGAGAGACATTCGCCCAAGATTTGCACCCTAGTCTGACTTTAAAGCTCACATTTTAACCATGAAACTCAACGCGGTACAGACCACACGTGGCAGAGGTGGGTGGGTCTACTTGCTTACCGCCCCATCGTGACATACTGATCCTTATTATTATTTTGCATGACTTCCATTGTCATGGTTCCAGTAAGTAGGCTCAGAGAATTGAGAGCAATCTAGGCTAAAGGTATCCTCGAACCCACCCTCAAACACAGGAGATGAAGTCTGAGAGGCCCTTGGCCTGTACGCGCACAACGCATCACCCTGACGAGGTTGCTTATGCTGGGAATTCATTCCTTCACTCGCTCCTTCATTCATTCTTCATTCGATACACATTTATTTCATACTTAACGTATTCTGTGCACTGTTCCAGACACTCGATTATTTCAGCGAACAAAGTGGACAGAAATCCCTGACAAAGAGACGGCCCCTGAATTTTCAGAATCAAGCTGAGATTCAGCACCAGATTCCAAACCCAGAGAGGAAAGCGGGGTGATCGTGAGAGGGAGATAAGAGCTGAGCGTGAGAAAAACCTCTGGCCCCCGACCCTCTGATGTGGAACCGCCTTGCCGAGCTCCTCGGCGGCTGTGCTACACGCTCGCTCCCCAGCACATCGAGTTCATTACACCAGAGAAGACAGCATGGGGACTTGGGCAGCAAAATCCTATTTCTCTCAGCAGGATTGGGAGTCCTTGGTGAAATCCTTTCCCTGGCACACAGTTATTTCGATATTAAAATGAAATCTACACTGGCTGTATTTTTGGAAGAAGCTGACTTGCTGCTGTGTAAGAGCTTCACACAGGTGGCCAGATAGAGGGGTGTGCGGGAGACAGTGGGCGGTGCTCTCTAGGGGAGCTCTTGGCCTGGAGGCCAGAGCTGCAGAGGGACTGGAGCTGGAAGCAGAGGCTCCAAGGGGTTCAAAGCTGCAACAGAGACACGGTACTTCCGCAGCTCCCTGAAGCCTCGTCTGTCAAGACCTATACCTCCTCCTCTTCCAGCTGCACCAGGTTGCACCTGGGCCCAGATGTTTTCAGCTGGATAGGCTGTTTTTATGGCACCTGTGATGACACTGAGTTTTCCAGGAAATGAATAATTGATGGGTAAGAGGAAAAATCTTCCAGATACGTCCATCAAGTTCAGAGGCACCCTGGGAGCGCCTCTACGGTGGTAATGGGAGAAAAAAAACTGGGTGGGGGTCCGGGGAGACCAGCTTTTTCCTACACGTGCCGCTCGCACGTGGCCGGGATCGCTCCGTGTGTCTCCTCTTCAGGAGGCTTTGCCCCATCTCACTGTCTCCAGCTAATTCGAGCCCATGGGGCAAGGAGGCTCCCAGACTCAAGCTACAGCTCTGTGATACCCAAACTCAGATGCCTTCTCCGACAACAGCCCGCAGCACTGTGGGAAAAGAGCCGGCCTCTGACGCCACGTCCAGCCTGAGGTTTCTACAGCTGCCGCCAAACAGCCCTTTCCTCAGTGGCTGGGAGAGGACTTACTTTTCCTGCGGTTCCCAGCAACTCTCCTGGGGCTCAGGCTGGGAGCCCCGCGGGAAAAACTCAAACACAAATACACTTTGCTTTTCAGCGGCTTTGCTCCCGTGACTTGGTCTGCAGGGCTGCGGTCCGCTGCGTGGACCCACAAACATTCACACGCTCAAACTTGGCTTAACCCCCGGAAGTCCCGGGGCCTCGTATAAGTTGGGGAGATTTTCCTCAGTCTTTTCTCCTATATATTTATTTCCATTCTCTTCCTCTAGGAGAAAGAATGATGGTAATTGCTAATATCTACTGAGTGCTTATTATGTGTCTGGCAGACTTCTAAGCATTTATGTGAACTAACTGACTTATCCTTCAAGCAACCTAAGTATTTATATTTTCAGATTAGGAAACCAAAGTATTACACTGCAAGGAAGTAGCGGAGCAGGAATTTAAATCCAGGTACTTTGTGTCCAGAGCTGATGCTCCTATTCTAAGAATGCTGATAATCCTTCCCCCTTCTCTTGTCAAATCCTAATGGCTGGGCTGCCGGCCGCTTGGGCAGGAGAGGTACCTGAATAGCCCGTGATGTCCATCGCCTTGAGGTTCCGACATTTGATCACCGTGAGGGTGAGCCTGCCCGCAGTGGGCAGGTAGCAGAGGGAGAACATGATCTCTCCCAGATCCACGCTTTCCTGCAAAGAAGAAGACAAGAGGGCAGATGAGGGGCACGCTGCTCCCCCTGAGCTGCTGCTGGGCCACTCCGGGCTGAGCGAGGGTCTGGCCTCCATGCTGGGAGTAACTGGGCATAAAAGGCGATCATAACAATGGCGCCTGTTCAGTAGGCTTTGTCCCCTCAGTAGTCCCCAGACTCCGGTCCTGGGCCTCGCCCTCCTGATCTGGCCTGACCGGCCCTGCCTGAGCCCCTTGGCTGCAGTCTCTGGACCACCAGCCCCTTTGTGTCCCAGCCCTGTTCTCCTCCTGCTCCCTCTCCCCAGGCACTGGTCCCCAGAATCTCCCCGCCACCATGCCTGGCCTGCGAGCACATCAGTGTCCACGAGAAACAAGCCGGCCGTCAGGGGCACCTTCTCCCCGCAGGTCTGCTTCTGGCCCGCAGGGCAGTCCCTCCGTTTTGGCCCCTTCCTTGCCTCTCCCCAGGACGCACCTAGCACTTCGACTCCCAGGCCTCAGCGTGGGAGCAAAGGAACGGGGACCCTGCTGGGGACGTGTGGCCGATCGAGGAGACATACATGCCCCGTCCCATGTTCGTGCCAGGTCTTGGATCTGCTTTGCCCTTTGTCCGTAAACGTGGTTCTCCTTCAGGAACGACCGGCACAGAGCACACCCTCTGCGGCCTCTCCAGCCCCCCGCAGCGTCATGGCCAGGACCCCCGATCCTAGGACACTTCTGAGCAACAGGAAGTAGGAAAACTGGAAAGTGAGCACGTCCGTCCATCGAGTTACGTAGCAGTTAAGCTGCTTCCTCTTCCTGCCCCCCACTTGATGGAGGAGGGTGCTGTCACTGTGACACCTGCCCCCGCCTCAGGCTCTGGGGTCCGAGACACGGAGGTGTTTCCTCCCTGCAGGCTCCCAGACCCAGGGTGGTGGAGGAGGAGGAGGTCAGGGTTCCAGCGGCTCTGATTTCAGACAGGGCCGTCCATTCATTCATTCATTCATTCATTCATTTGGCGAATATTAATCATGTACCTGATATGTGCTAGGTGTTGTTCCGGGTGCTAAAGATACAAGAGAGAACGAAATAGACAAACATCCTGCCCTCAGGGGGCTTACACTGTATTAGAGCAATGGACGAGAAAATAGGTGAATAAGTTAAGATGGTACAAAGTATGAAGGAGAAAAACGTAAGGCAGGCAAAGAACTATTCATGGGGGAGGCCACAGCTGTTGGCATTTTAGACAGGCCAGCTCCAGAGAGAGAGGAGTCCAGGGTGACAGCAAGGTTTTTGTCCCTTCTCCACACAGAGAACAGTCCTAGACTGGGGACTCCTACAGACACCTGATATTTGGTCCCATCCAGAGGCTAATCCAAGACCCCCCTGCTCTCCAGAGCATGGGGTCCACGGTCCTCTTATGGGGGCACCGATACCCACCCTTCCCCTGCCCGAGATTTGTCATTTCTTTCAGCCCGCCCCCCAATCCAATCCCAGGGGTAGCAGGAGGAGAATCCTTCCAGCTCCCCTGGAGGGGTCTGGCTGGGGTAGAGGCAACGCTCCCTCCTGCACACAGAACCCCGCGGCCCCACAGAGCCAGCTGAGCCCAACACCCAGGGCCTCTGCTCGGCCAGGCTCTTCCTCCGGCAGCGTTTGGAGGCTCACAGCCACTTTGCGAGGCGGGGAGTACTTCCATCACGCCCTCCACTTCACAGACGAACACCTCAGTGTTCAAACTCGGGTCTAAGAGCTCTGCCCGGGCTGAGCAGCCGCTAGGAGACACGGCTGGACCTCCACTCTTTCGAGGGGCCTCCTTGCGCTCTGAGCATCTTCCTGCTCACCCAGGGAGCACCTCAAGGCGACCCTGGCTCCTCCGGACCTTAGACCACTGTTATCCATCTGTTCATTTGTCCATCTGTTCAGATTTATGAAGAACCTGCTAGAGGCGCCATGCTTTGTGGGGAGTATACAGCACCCCCTCAGCACACACACCGTCTAGTGGGGTACACCAGGTAAAGGAAGCCACCGTCGCCCTCGGGTGCATCTCCCGTCTCCGTGGTCCCCTAGGACCAGTGAGGGGGACACACAGGAAGTGGCTCTGTGACATGGGGCTATGGGAGCCTGAACGTCCCTGCGTCGGCAGGGATTGGGTCAGCGGCGCACCTGGGAGAAAGCGCCATCTCTGACAGGGGCCCCCAGCTCCCTCTATTTCCCTCAGGGTTCCATCCTGTCCAAAGTTAGAGAAACCCTTCCAGGCTCATTAAAGCAATAAGGACTTCCATCGTAGCATGCTTCCGCAGGCCGAGGCTTTCGCCACATTATCTCAGGGAATTTTAACCACAGTCCTAAGAGGTAGGTGCTCTTATTATCCCTGCTGCAAACAGGAGGAAATGACTGTTTTGTGACCTTAAGTACTTGCCCGAGGTCGCATGACTGTGAGCATCCTGGTGCCAGACTTTCATAGCTCGATGCCACCCTTGGTGGCTCCCCTGTGTTTGGCTTCTGGAATCAAAAGCCAAATCTTCTCAGCTCGCATTCAGCACCCTAAACAGTTGGGTCCTGCCTTGCCTCCCCCCGCACTGATTATTTCTCTCTACTCCTCTGCTCCGACACTACACCCTACATGGCTGGTGTATCTTTGGCTCTTTTTGCCAGATGCCTCTTCCTCTTATCTTTGCTCGGAGATGCTGTGCATCTCGCAAGGCCCAAGGCCATGGCCCTTGCAGGCATCCCCGCCCAGGGCCCAGCCCACAGAGAGCATCTCTCCCCCATATCCATGGCACTTTCTGCCTCTGAGCCGCTCCCAGGCGCGACCAGGCCCGCCCTCTGCTGCGGTTCCTCCCGCTGGAGTCCAGAGGCTGGAGGCCCCTGTGGGGCGGGGGCTTTGCTTCCCACCTACCTGCCCTTCTGAGGTGCCCAGTAGCATGAGAGAAGCTACAGG